AAGAAATTCAGATGGCCAACAGACACATGAAAAGATGCTCCACATTGCTAATCATCAGAGAAATGCAAATTAAAACCACAATGAGATATCACCTCACATCAGTAAGGATCGCCACCCTCCAAAAGACAAACAACAAATGTTGGTGAGGATGTGGAGAAAGGGGAACCCTCCTACACTGCTGATGGGAATGTAAATTAGTTCAACCATTGTGGAAAGCAGTATGGAGGTTCCTCAAAAAACTACAAATAGAAATACCATTTGACCCAGGAATTCCACTCCTAGGAATTTACCCTAAGAATACAGCAGCCCAGTTTGAAAAAGACACATGCACCCCTATGTTTATCACAGCACTATTTACAATAGCCAAGAAATGGAAGCAACCTAAGTGTCCATCAGTAGATGAATGGATAAAGAAGATGTACATATACACAATGGAATATTATTCAGCCTAAGAAGAAAACAAATCCTACCATTTGCAACAACATGGATGGAGCTAGAGGGTATTATGCTCAGTGAAATAAGCCAGGTGGAAAAAGGCAAGTACCAAAGATTTCACTCATCTGTGGGGCATAAGAACAAAGAAGAAACTGAAGGAACAAAACAGCAGCAGACTCACAGAACCCAAGAATGGACTAACAGTATCAAAGGGAAAGGGCCTGGGGAGTATGGGTGGGGAGGGAGGGATAAGGGGAAAAAGGGGCATTATGATTAGCACACATAATGTAGGGGGGTCAGGGCACGGGGAAGGCAGTATAGCACAGAGAAGACAAGTAGTAACCCTACAGCATCTTACTATGCTGATGGACAGTGACTGTAATGGGGTATGTGGTGGGGACTTGATAATGGGGGGAATCTAGTAACCACAATATTGCTCATGTAATTGTAAATTAATGGTAGCAAAATAAAAAATAAAAAATAAATAAAATAGATGTGCTTGTTTATGAATATAGTAGTCTGAGGAACAGGGGTGGCAAGAAGACAGTTTTCAACTCTCTGTTACACAGTTTATTTCATTTTTCAAATAGCTGCTAGCGTTTCACTGCACAGGTACTCCAATTTTACCTAATTTGTCCCCTGTAAATGAGTGCTTAACTTGGTTTCCATTCTTTTGCTGTCCTGAGTATCACTGTATGCCTTTGTGCACATGTGCAAATTCAGTCTACCTGTAGGATAAATTCACACAAGTGGAATTACTGTATCAAGATTGCATGCAGTTATGTGAACACTGCCAAATTAACCTCTCAAAAAAGGTCTGATCTATATATACTCCAAGTATATATAAATATACCTGTTTTTCCCACAGCCTCAATGACACAGTATCAAAATTTCTCATCTTTTTGCCAATCTCTTAACTAAAGGATTTAGACTTTGGCAAACACTAACCTGTTTTAGTCTCATTTTCTGCAAGAGAAACTGAGGCTGAGAGGGATTACCAAGTTCACAATGGCCAAATGTACCTTGGAGACAGAAGTTAAACCCAAATCTAGTCAGACCCCAAAGCCCATGCTCCTGATCACAACGAACTAAGAGACACTGCAGATGAAATGTCCTCATAACATAGCACAGATTAATGCAGAGAACAGGTCATGACCTGAGACTATTTAAAAAAAAAAAAAGCTGAATACTCCAAAATACTTCTTTCCACTTCTGGATGATAAGACTCTTCTTTTGATGCTAACATGTTCAAACTTTTCTATAATGAGCAGGCGTTGTTTTAAAAACGTTTTTAATTAAAAAGGAAAATGTGCTATGTAAACACTGTAAACAGCAGCAAGTGCTTGGAGACCCCCTACTCCAATGTCACTCCCCAAGGCACTGGATCCAGGCGAAAGAGAATGGCTGTTACCAGTTTGGTATGTCTTTCCAGACGTTTTTCTAAGCATATAAATGCAGTTTTCTGTCTATTTTAGTGAAATTGATCTATTACTTGTACTGCTTTTCATTCTGGCACTTTCCCCCTGAATGGTATGTCCTTCCGTGCCAGCATACACACGTCTACATCACTCTTTTTTCACTATTTCATACTGTAGACATGGCATCTTCTTCACCTAAGAATGAAAAATTATTCTCTTTTATTTCCTCCTCGTGTGTTCAGTTTTTAGAAGCTTAATTCATCTGTAATTTATTTTCATGTAAGATATGAGATAGGGATATAATTTGGCTTACATTCCATATATAGTCAACTGTTATAAAACCATTATTTGATAATCTATCTCTTTTTCATGTTGGTATGAGATATCCTTTTTATCAAATATTAAGTTCCCAGCTATATTGACGATCTTTTTAGATTCCTTATTAATTTACTTCTGTACCAGTTTCACGTTATTTATTTTTAGTAGTACATTTTCATCTTTGAAAAGGCAAATCCTACCACTATTATTCTTCCTTCTCAAACATTTCTTGGCATTTACTTCATAGTCAGAAAAAAACAAATGCTTTTTGTAAAAGAAGAATGATCTTAGATGACAAAGCCTTAACTGAAAGAAACACACACAACTACAAAATTAGCATTACATTTTATTCATTTACCCTTTCCTAGAACAACTAACAATTAACATTTGCATTATCTTCACTTTACAAAGCATTTTCATTTTCATTATGAAAGAATACTTTGTCAAAGAAAATAATCCACTCATTTTACTATCAGTAAATATATTCCAACTGAGCCTAACACTTCACTGCAAAACGTATTTCAAAATGCTTATGTTTCAGCAACCAAAGTTTATTCCAAATAAACCAGAAACTCATTTATGTTGTATCTTATGTGCAGAGAAAAGAGTAAATGAAAAGCACAATCACTAAGCAGCTATTATGTATTATAAGGTAACATTCATTACTTATACTTAAAATACGTCCATTCTCCAGACAAAATACAAGTTTTAATCATAAAAATAAATTACAAAAACCCCACAAGATTAGCTTAAGTTATTTACTAGACAAACATTTGTCATCTACCTAGCCATATACTTGTGAATTTAAACTTTGTAATTAAGTTTGACTTAGAGACATTTTCCTAATAAATCAACTTACATTTATCACTGTAAATGATCTGGACCACTGGATTGGGGCCGTCATTCTGCGGCACTGGATCTATATCAGCCCATTCTGCTCTGTCCCTGAAAATATAGTATTTTTTCAGTGATTATATTCAACTGCATAAAAGGAAAAAGAACTCTGGTGTTTTTAAAAATGGCAACAATCACACTTATTTTTCTTTTAAATTTTTTATTAAGGTATTATTGATATACACTCTTATGAAGGTTTGGCAACAATCACACTTATACTGTTAACTTATAAATATCTTAATGTAATTATGGCTGGATTCTTCGTGACCAGGTTTTGCCACTTTTTTTTACATAAACTTTTAAAGTAAAATGAATAATCTTCCAATTAAAAGAAGTTACTAAATCAATAGTTTTCAAATTTAAAGTTTTTATGTAAGTGGAAAAAACATGTTTTTGCAGCAAGTACACAACAGTTTTAAATTATAAATCAATCTGTATCACTCTTTGGAGTCAGCATTGTAAAAAAAATGTGAATAACAATTTACTAGGAACTGACATTTTAAAACCAAAGTAACACTATTAGTTTACTGTACACGGAGAGATGGATGGTCCAGGTGGTCCTTAGAGAGCAGCCTCTGGAATCCAACGACTGTTTGACTTGGAATATTGGCTCTCTTACTTATAAGCTATGTGAACTTGAGAAAGTTACTTAACCTCTCTGGGCCCAGGTTCTTTATAAAATGGAGATTATAATATTACCAACCAACATTGAAAGGCTGCTTGGAGAATTAAGTGAGATAACATGTTAAGCACTTAAAATGTGCAGAACAGTAAGCATATAGATAGTAAATACACTATATGTACACAAATATACATATATTAGCATAGTATAGTAAACACAGAAAATACACTATATATTCTGCTTAATATATGTTATAACCACAGCATAGCCTAAATGTATACAGTAAGCATTCCAAGAACACTACTCATCATCAATGCTAAATAGCATTATACTGGCAACAACTGGGTGCCTATAGGTATTTCTGTAACTACCCAACGCGACCAAATTTGTCTTAACCACTCTCTTAATATTCTTTTCCTTTCATCCATTTTTTAGTTCTCTATACAAATCAGCTACTGACAGCAAAGATTCTTTGGCGTCCAGATAATCCTGAAATTGAGTCCACTATATAAGGAGAAATACTGGGGAAACAATTACCTGAGGTTGTGAACTGGACCGAGGGTAGGATGAAAAAGATACTGCTGTCATTAGCCACTGGAACTCAGGCCCGGCCAAGGAAAGACGCTGAGTGTGTTACAACTCACAGGGGAGGTCTGAGGGTTCCTGAGCCACCACCACCCATTTATATCAGTCAAACATTAACTTCAATAACAAAATCTGGACAATGCCTTTCACTCATTCAAAACTCAAGGCAAATAAGCTATCCAATGGGTTTACCTAGAATTACAGTAAAAAGACGTAAGTACTTCTCAAGTGTCTCTACGTTCAACGTGAGTTAGGGAATCCAAAAACCGGTGGGGACGGGCCCGGGTGTTGGCAAAGACGGGGAGAAAAGGCACGGAAGTTACAGCAGTGCCCAGAGTGCCTACTGCTCATCGTTTGTGCGGCGTGCCAGGTGAGGCAGGGAGTGTAAGAGTTTAAGGAACAAGTAACTTGGTGCTGGCTGACGCGAGGTGCTAAAATAGACAGAAAATGTGGACTAAGAATGACCCGGTCCTTAAAGATCTCATACCGGCTCTCCGTTCCAGCAGAACAAACCAGGGGCGGCCCTACACCCTGTTTTTAAAGTGAGCACGCGGACCTTACTGCACCTTTACTTCCTGCCGGCGACCGAACCGCAGCCCAGCCCGCTGACGCGGTCGGATTACAGGAGGCTAGATTACTACAATGCCCTACATTCCTGACTCACGACCCAACAGCCTAGGCGAGAGTGCAGCCTGGCATCCTGGCATCCTGGCGCTCCCACGCGGCTGCTGTCCGGCCTCTCCGGCCTCTGGGACGCAGCGGTGCTCCAGGAAGCGACACCCCGAAGGGGGCGCGAGGCCGCGGGCGGGCCGGCCGCCAGTGAGGCCGCGGGAGCTTCGGCCGGTCAGGCGGAGGCCTGGGAGCCGCCTGGGACCCGCGGGACGACGCCCTCGACTGCGCGGGGCGGGCCCGGGCCCCGCGGCCCCGCGGTGGGCGTTACCTGTACGGGACATAGGTGGGAGAGTCCAGGCTAAGGAACCCGTCGTCCATAGGCGACCCCACCGCTTCCCCGGCCTCGGCCGCCATCGCTTCTCCCGGCTGCTGCTGCGGGGGCGGCGGGGGGTGCGGCTGGGGTGGCGGCGGTTCGGCCTGCCCGGCCTCGCCGCCCTGCGAACCCTCCCCTGCCCCCTCAGTGGCAGCCATCTCGCTCCGGGCCGCAGCAGAGGCGGCGGCCCCGCCCCTCGCCCCGCCCCCAGCGGGGCCACTTCCGGCTCTCTCGCTTCCGACCACAGAGAGCCAGAGAGCCGCGTCCGGGCCGCCCTTGCTGGGCGCCTCTGGGTTTGCTTACGTCACCCCGTCTGCGTCTGCAGGCTTACCTGGTACCTGTGTTGGTGCTTTGGAGCTACTTGTGTCGTTAGATTCGCCCTTAGCGGAGAGGGCTCTCTCTTCTTTCGGATGGAGTATTAGAAGCAGTTGGTAGGGTTGGCTGGCCCTCCGCAGGGGACCCACTCCCTGTCCCGCCCCTGAGTCTCCCGGGAACTGGCCCCTAGTGCTCCTTATTAATCTATTAAGGGCCTCTGTGTTCGTGTACATTTTTTTTTCTTTTAGATGCTGAGTTATATCGCAGAATTTAAGTGATCCAGGGTTTTTGTCTTTTGAAATTCTAATTATACAAGTAATATATGTGTACTACTCAATACATGTATAAATACACATTTATAACAACTATTTACTGACTAGTGAATATGTGCCAGACTTGCTCACAGCAGTAAATAGAAGTGCGGTCATGGAGTTTGCGTTCTAATGAGGGACAGCAGAACATGCCACACTAATAAAATATGTCTGTAGGTGTTCAGGATATGCCACTCTCCAAAATATGCTGGTTAGGCATATTGATTATTCTGAGCTGTAGGCCCTTGAAAAACAGTAAATGCAGGCAGAGGCTTTCTCTGAGCTTCATTTATCTGCCTCAAGACAAGACCTCTAAAACGGACTCGATTGTCATATCCCCTTTGCAGGTGTGGACACCACACCCAGACAAATTTTGTCAAACTTTTTTCTTCTCCCATCTGTTCTTCTAAAGGCCCACTCACCTTTCCTAAAAATCCTTCGTTTTCCCCTAGGGGTCTACATCCTTCCTCTCCTTTCCCCATTAAGATGGGATTTAAGCCTGAATTCCAAGCAAGCATGGGGAGTTACTAATATTTCCCTATCTCAGAGGTATACATGTTAATAAACCTGTTTCTCTCTTACTAATCTATCTTTTATTTATAGCTGTGTCAGCCAAGAACTCAGAAAAGTAGGGGGCAAATTATTTTTCACCCTCTACAGCAGATAGTTGTGAAGGCTTTTCTGGGGGCTATTTGGCAAAGACCTAAAGGAAAATGCATGCCAGCTGGAGAGAACAAGAAGTGCATACTTAGCGTGTTTCTGGTTCAGCAAGGATGCCCAGATGACTGAAACCCTGTGAGCGCCAGGAAAGAATTAACATAAACTTAATTCCACTATCTGCTTCCATGACCAGCATTTTCTAGTGTGTGCAATCCATATTTTAAAAATGAATTACCAAGGCCGTGGTAGGAATGTGGGATATTTAGTAGAAGTCATAACAAACTTTATCTTTTTATTCGTTTTTAAGCGTACAGTTCAGTGGCGTTAGGTACATTCACAAAATTGTGCAACCATGGTCACCATTCATCTCTAGGACTTTTTCATCTTTCCAAACTGAAACTCTGTCCCCTTTAAACAACTCCCCGTTCCCTCCTCCCTGCAGCCCCTAGTAACCACTATTCTGTCTCTATGAATTTGACACTCTAGGGACTCAGGAAGGGGACTCACAGTATCCATCCTTCTTGAATTAGCTTATTTTACATAATGCCCTCCAGGTTCATTCACGTTGTTTCTATCTTTTGGCTGTTGTGAATAAGGAAATATCTGTTGGAGCCCCTGCTTTCACTTATTTTGGGTATATACCCAGAAGTGGGATTGCTTGATCATGTGGTAATTCTATGCATAATTTTTTGAGGGACTGTCATACTGTTTTCCCCAGTGGCTGCACAAGGGTTCCAGTTTATCCTTATAATCACCAGTGCTGTTATTTCCTGTTTTTTATTTTTTGATAACCATCCTAATGAGTGCAGTGTGTTATTTCATTGTGGTTCTGATTTGCATTTCCCTAATGATTAGTGATGTTGAGCATCTAATATGCTTATTGGCCATTTATGGGATTTGATTTTAAGCAGAAATTAGTGGTAAGTTTTGAGTAAGGGAGACATACGTGACTTATATTTCTAAAAGACTACTCTGGCTCTGGCTATTGTGTGTAAGATAAGCTGTACAAAGGCCAGAATGCAAACAGACCAGTTTGAAAGCTACTGTAGCAGTCCAGCCGCAGGGCAGAATGTTGACATTGTGATTCCCGATTCACTGTTGGATCATAAAGTCAGTTTAGTGGGTCCTGTGGTGTATGAGGATGTGCACCAATCCTCTCAGGAAGGATCTGCTGCCCACCATTGCAGAGTGCAGTCAGCAGCCAGTCAGCAGCCAACACTGGTTGGAGAGCCAGCTGAAGGAGGCAGAGGTATAAAGCTCAGCCATTTGGGCCCAAAAGGAACCTGATGGGCACCACAGAGCTGCCCACATGCTGGGCTGAGGCTTCTCATGCTTGCCTTGCAATTTGACTTCACAGAGGTCTTGCATCCCTAATTCCATTATCTGCTTCCATGACCAGCATTTTCTGGTGTAAGCAATCCATATTTTAAAAATTAAATAGAATAAAAAATATCATAACCCAGTGCCTTTAGAAGAAAATTTTGGTGAAGTTTTGTCATTTATATATATTGAGGTAAAATGGGTCATGCCATAAAGTGTATTTCTTACTGAGGGTTGTGGTCAACAATTCTGGAAAACAATGGACTATATAAATTGAAATGGAGCTGATAAACAGTGAAATGAATTCTGGATATTCTTTGAAAGTTAATCTGATAGGATTTTCTGCTGGTTTAACTGGATTAGGGATTTGAGACCAAAAAAGGAGTTAAGAATGACTCCCATGTAAAAGTGCCTTCTGAGTGGAATAGGTATAAAAGTCCCTTTGACCAGCCAATCCTGTCTTAGTACTACTGTGTTCTTTCCCTATAGATTTACATCCACATGTATGTTTCTGGTGGTGGTGGTGTTATTTTAACTGAACTTTTTTATTTGACAAATTTTAGTACTGAAATATATTTTTTCTGGACTATAACACAGCTCTCTGGACTTCCTGATCCTTTGATATGTATCTCCCCAAACTGCAGTAAACGAACATTCCTCCAAACTCTTAATAACCTACCCTAATAAATTATAGAATTGTTTAAAGTAAGTATAGGAAGGAAAAATCAATTGGTATTTCAAGAAAAGTACCCTAAACAAGCCTTCCCACCAAACCAGTCCAAAGAAAAATATAATCTGAGTAAGAAGACTGGGGGATCCTTTTTCAAAACAGATTGAAACCTGGAAGCCCCCATCACACGGAAATTCCAGAGCTGTCACTGTCTTTTACATCTCTGTTATGTGCTTGGAACTCAGCACCAGGGCCATCTTCAGCAGATGGAGTAGTAATACTAAACACTTCTTTCTTATCAATCCTTGAGAATCTCATAAGCGGTATAAAAGATACGTGGTGAAAATAAGAACAGGAAGATGGGATTCAGAGAAAGGAAACTGTAGGACAGAGAAGAAAGCGCTCACAGCAGAGGAGGAGGAGTGGACAAGATCTGGACAAATATCCATTAAGGGCATTGCAGGCTGACAGGACACACAAATGTTATCTCAGTCGAGGCTTATAAAACCCCTATGGGGAAAGCAGGGTAGTTATTTGCCTCCAACTTTACAAATGAGAACCTGAGCCAGGTCTGGTCTGGGGCTCTAGGTATAGGATATGCAGAAGAGTAAGGTTAAGGAGACAGACAACATAAACCAAGTGACTATCTCCTGCCCTTTAAAGGCTGCCTTCTGCGGTCCAGTATTGTTAACCCTGGCTGCGCCTTATCACCTGGAGAGTTTCACAGCATTCCAGACACTGAGCCCTATCCCCAGATATGCTAATTTCGTTGGTCTAGGATGAGGCCTTGGTATATTTTAGATTAAGTCAGGAAACACTAACGTGCAGCCCAGGCTGAGAGTCGCTGCTCTCCTGCATCGGGATGGAGAGCCTGCTCCTTTCCTTCCCAGAGAAACTCAGATGCCTCTCCATGGGGCGGGAAGGCCCGGGCAGGGTGGACTAGCAACCAGGTGGTTGTGTCAAGTATAGAAATCAACCAATCAATAAAAAACTTGAAAACATATTACACTTTATTATATAAACTAAATTACAATGTGCGTGTGAATACAACTACTTGTGAAGTGATAGAAGTTGTACTGTAAATTGTCAACTTTTAATAGCTTTATTGAGGTGTATTTTACATATCACAAAATTCAGTGCTTTCATGTGTATATTCGTCAGCAATTTTTTATTTTTAGCAATTACTGATATAAGCCTTTTGTTGGTATAACTGTCTCAAGATAAAAGAAGCTCCCAACTTGATGGCACTCTTCTAGAGATTTCCCCATAAGCTTGATAGTTACTAGGTGCCTGGGCATCATGTTAAAACGCCTGGGCTTTCAGCTTCCCCCAGAGCTCTCAAAGCTTCAACATTTTCCCTCTCTGCTACAGTCACGGAGGATGGCACCTTCAGGGCCCTGGCTGCACCGAGAGAGAGACAGAAGGGGTGGGGAGGGCAGAGGGGGTAAAGGAGATGAAGACTGGTTAATCCCGGTTGCCAGAACTAGGAGCTTGTGTCTGTCATTTAGCTGCCTTGTTTCATCACCAAGAAGCACTTGTGTCTGTGTCTGTGCCTGGACAGTCATACAAGACCAGGGAGGAAAAGACAGTCTTTCCAAAAACTGGTGTTGGGAAAACTGGACAGCTACATGCAAAAGAATGAAATTGGATCAATGTCTTACACCATGCACACAAATAAACTTGAAATGGATTAAACACCTAAATATAAGACCTGAAACCCTAAAACTCCTATAAGAAAACATAGGCAGTACACTTGTAAACATTGGCATTAGTAATTTTTTTCTGGATATCTCCCCAGGCAAGGGAAAGAAAAGCAAAAATAAAAAGTGGGGCTACATCAAACTGAAAAAGAAAAAACAACTTAGCTAATGGGAGAATAAATTTGCAAATGATATATGTGATCAGGGGTTAACACTCAAAGTAC